AGGAACCCTCAAATTACAACACATTAGAAGTTATTATTTCAGCCTAAGGTCAAGCGTGACTTTAAGTTGGAGAATCACTAAGGTATATCAATCTTTCTACTCACATGCCCACAGGGACTGAGAGAAACGCACTGCGCTCAAGAAGAACCACTCAGTGTTATCAGCACAAAACAAATATATGATGGAAAGCTTAATAAACATGAAGTCAAAACTTCAAGAGGGATGTCTGTCAAATAATAAATCCAGTTGATGTCTAAATTCCTCAGGACTTCTGAAAATGCAAAGGATAACGTTGAGCTGGAGCTTCACCTCTGTCTGCTCCAACCTGAACTGTGTGCTTTTTTCTCCCCTACCATTCACTTTGCAAGTTTGTATAAGCTGTCTCTTTCTTGGTTACCTATCATCTTTCCCACTTTCACTCTCTATAAACACTATTTCTGCTACATCTTCAAAAGCTTATCTCCTCTCCACAGCTGTCTGTTCAAAGTTGAAAGCCTGACACTGATTTCACCAGGTTGAATTACTCTGAAATAAATTCCTCAGGGCAGAGACCAGTTTCTCACGCATTGTCAATAGCTAAATATAGTGTCAGTGCTTCATAAACATAGGATGAATATAAATAACACACTAAAAGCAAGGTTGTAGTAATTCCTGCATATTGTACAATTAAAATTTGATGCTTTGGCTGAACTCTGGATATTCTCTAAAAAATTATCAAAAAGTGAGCATTCTCTTCTTTTTTGGGGGGGGTACCAGGGATCGAACTCGGGTCCTTGCGCTTGCAAGGCAGGCGGCAGAACCACTGAGCTAAATCCCCGGCCCCCCATTCTCTTCTAATATGTGGGAGACAGAACTTTACAAATAGAAATTTGGGGATTCTCTTTGCATGACATGAATGCCCAGGAAAACTGACTTCTTATTCCACCATACCCAGACTTTCCATGAGATTAAATGTTCACAAGTATTATTCCCCTTTGGCTTCCCTCTGGGTAGAATAAATTTCTCAGTTCTATGAGCTTTGGACTTACACATATCAAATGTGAGATAGTCATATAAAATAACAATAACAAAAAAATGTAGCACTTATGACACGGACTTTCTGAAATGCTTACAAGGTGGCTTGGGGATCTATTCTAGTCCCTTGGAATTCTGAATTGGTATCTAAGTATTTTGACTAGCCTACTTGTGAAATCATACAGAGGTGGCCTGAAATTGCATGGACAAGGGGAGAGATAGTCTTCCAGCTGTTCCTCCCAAATGAGACCACAGAAGTGAGAACTCAGACAAGTAAAACTTCTTAGACTGTCCAGGGCCAGCCTAAAGAGCAGCTATCAATGACAGAAGGATACCAGTGATGCCACACTTACCCAAGCCCTGCCAAAAGTCTTAATTTATTGATCAGGAGCATAGCAAAATGCTTTCCTTTTAAGCAACTAAATCTGATGTAATTTTTTATTCAGTGATAAATACTCAGAACATTCATTTTACTCCCACATGCTCAAACACACTTATCCCATTGTTCTTGACACTTTCTGAAGCAGTTCTGGAAGTTCTCTTTCATAGGTGTCTTTCCACGGCTACTTTGATGTCCTGAATTGATTAAAAACATTTACAGCAATTTCTATCAAATAAAAACATTACAGTATGGCCTTATCCACCTTGTTCATTAGGTCTGGCACCATGCAGCTTGTGGCTGTTCCCCAAAGTGAAAAGGATCTTGAAAAGCAAACGTTTTTAATTGATTCAGGACATTGAGATAGTCATGAGAGCACAAATAAAGGCAGTCATGGAAAAGATCTTTCAGAACTGCTTCAGAAATTGACAAGAATGATGGAAAAGATCTTTCAGAACTGCTTCAGAAATTGACAAGAATTATGGGATAAGTGTGTTCAAAGCAGGGGTGTGTGTGGGGGGGGTTAATGGCAATGTGTCTTTTGCTGCAATAAATTATTAAAATTTTAAAATTCATCATTATTTTGATCCCATCTCATTTACAATACACTAAAGTGACACAACTCAGTATAAAAACGGACAGCACTGGGGCTGGGGATTTAGTTCAGTGGTTCCAGAGCCTGCCTCAAACCACAAGGACCCAAGTTTGATCCCCAGTACCAAAAAAAAAAAAGGACAGCACTTACATTTTATTATATGGATGTTGAGCAACCTCTATCATTATTTAATGTCTTCCTTACATTAAAAAGTACTGAAAATATGTAACTTATTTCTGCTGTTGAACAGGTGGAAATGTTTAAAGAGATATTTATTAAATTATCCAAAGTCAGAGAGTTGGTAGAATAGTAAAACTAAAAGCTAACCTCAGAATTATCACACCAAGCCCTAATTTCTTAACCACACTGATTCAGAGCTAGGAAAATCCAAGGGGTCTGGTGTTTAGGGCACTGCTTATTTCCTTCAGCAATTCCACAGCAACCATGCAACCAGTTTACAAGCCTTTTGATAAATGTGACAGTACTGCCATTTGTACAGAGAAATGGGCAGGAGATTAAATTACACCTATTAAAGTAAAGCCTGGTTTAGACCAGTTAAAAATCTGGCTCAGTGTGTCTTGGGTGTTGGAAGAGGGACAGAAGACCAAAGAATTAACACAATAAAAAACTGTTGCTAGCTGGCCAACAGACATTAGTATTCACAACCAAGATAGCTAATACCTGCCAATTTAAGAAAAGCCAGCAGAATTAAGCAGAATTACAAAGCAAACCACTTTCCCTCTCTAAGTGAATTTGTCATTAGGGCCTGATTTAGCTGGGTGTGAAATTGGATTACATAGCTGACTAAGGTTTTCACAAGCATATTACCTCTAGTATAGTTACCTTTATTGTCAACACATAGGGCAAAGTTTTTCTAGTCATTTATAAGTCATGTGGGTCTAAGAACAGAGTGGGGAAAGAAATCAAAGTAATAGAATAATGATAGATTTCTTCTCTTGGCTATGGCTGGTATCACCAATTATTACCAGGAGGGGCCTTAAAAGGAAAATCCTTGAATCAGAGGCCCAGCCCATTTTAGGCAGTAAGCAACCCAAAATCAATAGCGTAGGCCACTCTGTAAAGATAATAATTAAATACAGGAAATAATAGAAACACCAAAAGCATGGTTAAGAATATCTTCTATCAAACAAAATAAACTGAGGCACAGTCTACAAATATAACTACTGTTTTCTCCTTAAAAACATCCAGTAATTAAAGTAAAAGAAAGACAGAGGAATTATCTTCAATTAAAGGAGATTGATGATGACAACCAAATGCAAAATATTTCAGAATGGATCCTGAACCAGAAAAGAGAAATCATCTTTTCTTTTTCCCATAAAAAGACAGTGAAACCATTAGCATAATTTGAACTAATTTATAATTCCCAAAGTATCATTTTTCACTAGTCCTAGTTTCCAAAACTGTTACTACAAACTTTCTAGAGGTCAGTTCTAAAGGTTTTTCCAGTTGTACTATGCAGCTTGTTCTCTTCCACTCCAAATTTTTGTAATTTTGATTTCTCTCTTGTTCCATAGGTTCCTAAGTGGATTTTATTTTTGAAAGTGAGAAATTTTATTTACCCTTTTTCATATTTTGTTTTCCCTGACTTTTCATTTTACTTTCTTTAATTCTCTGTTCTTTCTTTGTGAATTCTTTCTACTTTTTAAAAATTGGTAGTAAGCTAAACTTCATCTTTCTCCTTAATGCTAAAAGCATTTATTCACTCTGAGTACAGCTTTGACAGTGCCATGTGACTCTAATTTGCATTGCTCTCTATACAGTTTCTATATCTATCATTCTTTTTTAATTTCAACTTTCCTTCAACAGTTACCTAAAAATGCATTCGGTGTTACATATTTAATGTTTGGGGGTTACCTTCATACCATTTATTCCTAATGTTTAATAATTCCTTCATTAAGTTTCAAGTGTTTGTTGCAATATGATCAGAAAGGGTAGCCTGTAAAATCTGTTCTTTTTTATATGCAAAATTTCATTGTGTTCAAGTACCTTTGCAATTTTTGTAAATATTTTATGAATATATAGAGGAAAGTATATTCTTTTGAAAGGTGTCAAAAATCTCCCTTGATAATTGCATTAGGTTTTTTTGTGCTATTGCTTATTGTTATGGGCAAGATATGCAAAATTCAAAATGAAGCATGTTGAAGGAAGCTACTTTATTTGTATTCTTATCAAGTTATTCTCACATAGTTAACAGTTCTGCTTTATCTCTACTGAAAGCTATTGGGCTGTTCACTGCTTTCTAATTCCCAGCTAGTACATGTCTTTCATAAACCACCTTTCAGTGTTACCCCTCCTAACCTCTAATCTTATGATATACTAAGATATTTTAGTAATTTTAGTTCTAAATTATTCATTGGATTTATATTGCAGTGTATCCTTTCTTTTTAATTAGCATTTTTATCATATTTAATATATTTACTTAGCATTTATATCACACATTCTCACTCTATATCATGACCCATTTATGTCTGAGCAAACACATAAATAAGCATTCATTTATTCCAAGATTCACTGCTCACAATTTCCATTCATCTCACATTTCCCTAGCCTTATTTCTCCTATCTCCTTCATTTGTTCATTAAGAATCTCTTCTGTACTGTTATATTTTCCAAAAAGACTAGCACAAAAATTCTTTTTAACTCCAGAAAATACACTCTTACATTCCCTTCAATGCTCATTATGTTTCAAGTTGTTACTATTCCTTTTTTCAGACCGACTTGCAAAGCTCTAACCTATGCTCATATTTAATTGTATTTTTCCATGGAATCTAAGATCTAAGGTTTGATTGCTGATAAACTCAAACCTCTGTATACAATGGAAAGTTCGGTGTTCTCTACACTCTGCCAAGACACCACAAACACTCATTTGCTTGATCCCTGGCCTGATTTCACCTTTTCAATCTCTGTGGAAGGGTGAGTTCCATCCCCGTTAGCTCCTTCTTGGCCTCTGAGCACCACTGAGACCAGCCAAGTAACGACGGCCAATGCTCACCTTCTATCAGGCTCCATAAACAATTGAGGGCCTTGATCTTCCCGATATATTAAATTTCTGATCTTCTTTGCAGTTCTCTCTGATTTTAATCTTTAGGTTCTTATCTACCTATAAGGATAAAGACAAACAAAACTCAACATTCCTTTCACCCTTTATAAATTCTACAGAATCCAAGTCTTCCTCACAGCCAGCTTCCTCTAAGCAGTTATTTGGTTCATTGAAGAAAGACTGGTAGGAAAAGATGCTCTTAGCTTTCCAGAATATCTCCTTTTTTTACGGTTTTAAATATTTTCCCCATATTTTATAAGGCACTTTTATTCCTTACAACAACACTACTGAGTCAAAATTCAAACAAATCTTGAAATTTCAGTTTCAAAGTTACTTCAACTTTTAAAAAAAACTATAGTAAATATGTGTAGAAAACACTTGGATGGCATATGCATGGTCATATGTCAATGTAACATGTCCTCATTCCATGGCCTGCAAACCACTATTAACAGTATATCCTTGCAAATTTTTTTTTTCTGGTACCTGGGATTGAACTCAGGACCTCGGGCTTGTGAGGCAGGTGTGACACCACTGAGCTAAATCCCCAGCCCTATCCTTGCAATTTTTTGTAACAATGTCCATGAGAAAAACACCTGAGGAAAGAATAGGTAAAGAATCTAACAAAAATCAGTTTGGAGCTGTGGACTCAGTGACATTAACAAATGCTCTCCTAGAAGGACTGTACCAATGCATGGTCACAGTGTCTCTGAGCTTCTCTCTTATATCCAGCACAGCACAGATATAGGTAGCACATGGGATACTCTGAGCAAATGGGACCAAGACAACTACCAATAAAGCTCTTTCCTCTGGATCTCAAAAGGGACATTACCCATTTTCCAAATGCCAAACAACATCTAACATAATTTCAATAGACACAATGGACTGAAAACATGTTACTTTTCTGTTCATTTATTTTTTAAAATTAGGGTCTATATTACATGTGAAAATTCAAACATAAAGGTGACTCTGTGTACTTGCAACATGAAAGTGCAAAAATAGAAATGAATCCTGTGTACTTTACACTTTAGAAATGAATAGAAACTTGCTTCCTCTGACATAAAAAAGTACCGTGTCAACTATGTTCCAATGTTTCAATAAGCAAGAGAACTATACCTTTCTTTTGAGATATACTTCTTACTAGTGATTTGAATGGTGTAATAACTCTTAGTGAGTTTGCAAGATTCTTTTACCCTCCTCTTTTTCTTAGTTCCTTCCTTCTCAGAGTTACAACCCTGGGAGAATTGGCATTGCATGCCTAAGACTCTAACTTCTACACTAAGATTCTAATTTCTATTCCTTCTACTGAAAAGGAATACCTCTTAGAAATTTATACTCTAAAATGTCCTCCTCTTTGTTCTCCTGGGAAGACTCCTTGACCAGCTTCTGGGTATGAAAGTCTTTCAGAAAACACATCTTTCAAGTTCATGGGCAGAATGCCACAGGAGCTACCCTCGGTAAGTAGCCCTCTCTAATCACTTTTGTCACTTACTGTCTCATCAGAAAGCAAAGCTTAAGATCTACTGCAACCTCAAATAATCTCACCACTAACAGCATTTCTTCTCTTTTCAGGAAACTTCACTGAGCCCTAACTCAGGCAATCATCCACCCACCTTAGGCTTTTTTCTTTTCTTCTTCCAGTTCTTCTCAAGTAGTAGATATCAATAACAGATTTGGAATCAAGAAGATGCAAGTCTCTCTTTTCTATTTAATATTTCTAAAGCAAAATTTCTTACAACAGTGCCAACTCATGTGTGATTGGGTTTGCAAAGAGCTCAACACAGTACCTGACACACAGTAGATGTTCAATAAAAGAGGATTTTCATAATAGAAATCTCTGATCTCAGACACTCCCTGGGGTAATGCAGGTGAGTATCTTCAATGGACAGAAGGAAAGAAAGAATTATATTTTAATAAAAATTAAATCACATTTCAGGAAAGGTTACAGTTCTATAGTATTACAGCAGGCCTTTTCCTATCACCTTTTGGACTATAAATCATGATAACTTTAATAAACCAGTCAGAGTAAATGTCATTGTTTTATGTAAATTTTTTCTATTTTCTGGATATTATTTTTGCTAAATTAAATTGGTCTGTAAGTGTGTGGCTTTGTAATATCAAGGAATGTCTTCTTTCTGGGCCAACGTCATCTCCTACAATGCAAACATGAACCTGTTATTAGACTCTTTCCTATATCCAACAACAATATTCCTCATCCCATTAAGGGCCAAAAAGCAATAGCAATTTCTTATGACACCAACAAGTATTTCTTTGACATTTTTGAGCTCCATCTGATGAATTTGGTGTCTGCCACATGGAACTCACCAAGTGTCTTAGTCACTTTCCTGTTGCTGAGACACAATACCCTACACCTATAACTCTTAAAGGAGGAGAGGTTTATTCGGCTCACAGTTATAATTCATGATTGACTCGCTCTAAGGAAAAAATGGCATGGTGGAAGGGTCTGGCTCAGAGGAAAGCTGTTCATATCATGGAGGCCAGAGAGCAGAGTGAGAAGGGAGGAGAGGCAAGGGAGATATATCTCTCCAGGTCATACTCCTAGTGTCCCACCTCTAACAAGTCCCACCTCCTTAAAACACACAATGCTTTTGAACTCATTAGTGGATAAATCTACTGGCAAGTATAAAGCCCCTATGATCCAATTACTTTCCCAAAGCCTGACCTCATAGATCATGAAAATCTGGGGAGATGTTCTGAATCTAAGCCATAACATTCTGCCCCTGGCCCCAAAAAGATTCATGGGCATTTCTTTACGTAAAATGAATTTAGTCTATCTCTAAGAGTCACCCAGATTTTAACAGTCCTAGCATTGCTGAGAAGTCCAATGCCAAAATCCCCTCTGAGACTCAAGGCAAACTCTTAGCTATGAGCCCCTGTAAAAATAAAAAATAAGCCAAGCATGGTAGTGCATGCCTATAATCCCAGTACTTGGGAGGCTGAGGCAGGAAGATAGCTGTGAGTTTGAGGTTATCTAGTGAATTTAAGTCCAGCCTGAACTATATAGCAAGACCTTATTTCAAAAAGCCAAAACCAAATAAATAAATAAACAAATATCAACTGACATACAATGGCATAAGATAAACATTCCTATTCCAAAAAGGAGAATGAGGGAAATAGAAAGGATTAGGACCAAACACTGAAATCAGCAGAGCAAACATTCAGTCCTGAAGCTCCATGACCAGCATTTGTGGGTAAGTTCTGGCAAGATGTGAGTTCCAAATGCCTAGAGTCCCCCTGCCTCTACAGGATGGCTAGTTGGCCTCTCTCCTGGACTGGCTTCACTCACTGCCTGTGGCTTTTCTGAGCAGACATTCCACATTTCTAGCATTTTGAATTTCCTGGGGTCTCTACTGTACTTTCAGGGCTCCACACACTGCTCTCTTGAGCACACTTCCTGGCTTCCCACACCTTCCTCTGAAATCTGAATGGAAGGCTCCCTAACCCCACAACTCTTGCATTCTTACTATCCATAACACTGTACTGCACAGATGATGTCATCGTCTGCTGCAAACTTGCCTGCTGCCAGGCCCCCTTGCATCATGTCTACAGAGATCTCTGAGTGCCTGAATGGCTGAACTCTAAGAAAGTGCCAGTTGGCTCTGAATGAGCTGGGGTCCCTGAAGGTCTTTTCTCAAAGCAAAGTCTTTTATTTTTGTACCTTTCAGCCTGCAAAGGGTGAGGTCTTGCTGAATTTTGAGAATCCATCAGGCCATTTTCATATTGTCCTGATACGAAGTTCTTACTTGACTTCTTTTTAATGCTAATCTTTTTAGAAGCCATGCTTTCTTTTGCCTCAACTTCACAAGCCTCATCTTTACAGGCACTTCCTTCTGGCCACCAGCAAAAGTTTTCAAAGTATTCAACTCAGCTATTTGATCCTGATCTCATGGTAGACATGACTAAAAGCAGCATTCAATACCCTTGCTACAGCCTGAACTTTGGACTGACTTGAAATTTCCTCTACCAGATTAATTAGTCCACCACATTTAATCTCAGACTCCCATAAAGTTTCAGGACATATGTAAAATCTCAACAAATTTCCTGCCAGAGTGAAACCTTTATTGCCTTGAATCCAACTGCCAATGGAGACATTTTCTCAACTGACATTTCTTGAGCCTGTTCTTTACCGTCTGTATTTCTATCAGCTTTCTGGACTTCGGAGCTTTGACCAGAATTTCCTATCAAGCTCGGCTTATACCATTTTAGGGCTTCTCAAGCTGCTATCTCCAAACATTTCCAAATCCTCCCACAAGCCAATTCCAAAGGCTTCTAAACCATGTTTCAGGTATGGTACTATCACAGAAACAACAATCCCATTCCTGGTACCAAAACTTGTCTTAGTCATTTTTCTGTTGCCCCAGTACAGTAGTCATTGCCCATAATTTTTAAATGAGGAGAGGTTTATTTTGGTTCATGGAGGTAGTCCATGGTCATCTGGTTCCAAGGTAGGAATGGCACAATGGAAGTGCTTGCCATGGAAGAGATCTGCTCACATTATGATGACCAGAAAGCAAAGAGATAAGGGAGGAGCCTAGGAGGAAGATATACCCTTTCCAGTCATGCCCTCAGTGACCCACCTCTTACCAGGCTCCTAACAACACACTCAGTTGATGAACTCAGGGCATCAATCCATTGATGAGTTTACTACCCTTTTGATCTAACCATCTTCCAAAAGCCCAGCCTCTGAGTGCATGAGAGTTTAGGGGGACACTGGATATAAACCATAACACCCTGTAATGATTAATTTTTTAAATGAATCAATGGACTGATGGATTGGATGGATGGGTGGATGATAAATGGGTGGCCTAAAATAGTTTTAATTTACTTGGGATAGAAGATTGTTTTCTCAGTGTTGCTTCCATAATGGTCTACTCTCCAGGATTGCCCTGTATTTTTCTCAGTGTCTTTACAACGCACTTACTCTAACCTTAAAATGAAACAAACTCTCACTTATAGAATATCATATGCCTTTAACCCCACAGCAAGAAGTACTCTTGGAAAGACAAGTATAATGTTTATAACAACGAGTATAATACCA